ACCCAGCCTGCCGCCCTGCCTCCGGCCGGGAGCTCACTGGCTGCAGCCCAGAGCAGGGCTCCTACCACGGGGGGAACCCCTCGCCCCCTCGCCCCCTCGCTGCCTCTGGACTTCGTCTCGGCCGACACGTCCTATCAGACCTGTCTGGGGCTGAGGAAGCGATCAGCGGCGGCGTCCGACTCATTTGTTAGTGTCACTGGAACCTTTGCTTCTGGTCTCCCGGCCAAACCGCCCTCCTCTGCAGGCGCGAGCGGCCACCGCCGGGCTCTGGGCCAGTTCCGCTGTCTCCTCGTGAAGCCAATTTCAAAGGGAGCAGCCGGAGCCTGAAGCATCGTTTTCATCCCCCAAACCCTCCCCTGAGCCTTAGACGACCCCTCTTCGCTGGCTGACAGTTACGGGGCCCCCGCACTGCACAGGGCGCACCCCGGGCTGCCTGTCCCCGTGCACCAGCTGCTCAAGCCACAAGCAAACTGGCAAACTCAGCGCCCGGCCAGAGCAGCGCGAGGGGTCCCGGAAAGACCGGGTGAGGGAATTTGGGAACAGAGAGAGGCCTCGGGCTGTGTCAGGCCCACACGGAGTCCCCACTGGGGTTCCTGCTCCCGGGGGTCTGCACCTGCACCCACGCCGACGGCTGGCGAGCCCATCTTCCTGGAAAGACCCCCCCCCTCGCCCCCGCTCTCCTTGCCCCTCTCCCCTGGGTGCGCTGTCCCCACCCACCTGCTTGCCGGATGGGGCCGCTGTCTGTGCTTCCTCCGAAGCCGACCTTGTCGCAGAAAGGGGGCGCCCAGTGGGCCTCGCAGTGGCAGTTCTTCCTGTTGTTGCACACCTGTCGGGGCAGCCGGGGTGGGGGTGGGGGAGGAGCAGAGTTAGGGTGCACCGTCCCCTGGGGCAGAGGTTGGTCTCTGAGCCCTCACTGGGCGCCGTGGCCAAGCAAAGGCCCTGAGGTCAGAGCCCCCTCAGCCCCCACAGAGCCAGACTCAGTGAATGTCACCGTGAGGACAAGCCCACGGCCCAGCACCACACGGGTGGCGGGGCCCAAGGCTGCACGTGGCCATGACCTGCCTGTCAGCAGCCGTCGGAGGACCCTGGGGGCGGTCAGGGCTCCCCCTCTGCCTCCCACGGCTCCTCAGGCTCCCAGGCCTCTGCTTTTCTATTAAAACATGTTTTTATGGGTTTCAGAGAGAGGAAGGGAGAGGGAGAGAGAGTAACATGCTGCCTTCTGCACGTCCCCTGTTGGGGATGGAGCCCGCGACCCGGGCACTTCCCACCGACAGGTACACCCCCGGGAGGTGGCCCTGCCCGCCTCTGTGGTCACAGCACAACCCCATCACTCTTGTTAGAATCACTGGCGAGTGTCTGCAGGTTTTAAAAATAGGATTTGGAGCATGATTTCTGCAGAGAAGGTTTCAGAAAGACAAAGAGCCCTGCACGTCGAGACGAACATGGTTCCACTGGAAACGATGAGTCCCTCGGGAAAATAAACCCCTTTTTAAACAATTAGCGCCCCCTTCTCCCCCGAAGACTCTCTGGACGGAGACAACAGGCTGTTCCGTCAAAACCCACCGTGTGGGACCTCGAGGACACGGGGCGGGTTCTGTCCCCTTTGTCTGAATCCCTTTCGGAGGAGTCTCAGCTCAGACACACATGCCGAGTCGCGGTTGTTAAAGGAACGGCTCTGTTTGACATGTTGTTGGAAAACTCTTCAGGAAGGATGGTTAGGGTTACGACCACTTTAAGATGACAAAGTCCTTTTCGTAAAAAAAAAAAAAAATCACAGAATGTTCATTTGAAAGTGAATGGCGGCTCCATCGGATTTTTTGGTAAATAAGAATCCCGTTTGTACAAAAAGGTCAAAGAAAATGAATGTCTTTAGAAGAACGCATTGAGAAGACACTGCTATGTTTTTAAGAAGTTATGGATTGCAGCCCGGCCGGTGTGGCTCCGTGGTTAGGCATTGACCTACGAACCAGGAGGTCACGGTTCCATTCCCTGAGAAGACACTGCTGTTTTTAAGAAGTTATGGATTGCAGCCCGGCTGGTGTGGCTCAGTGGTTAGGCATTGACCTACGAACCAGGAGGTCATGGTTCCATTCCCGGTCAGGGCACAGGCCCCGGGTGGTGGGCTCGGTCCCCAGTGTGGGGCGTGCAGGAGGCAGCTGACCAATGAGTCTCTCTCATCATTGATGTTTCTCTCTCCCTTTCTCCCTTCTTCTCTGAAATCAATAAAAATATATTTTATAAAAAGTTACTGTTGCAAACACCTTTACAAATGAACGAGCTGGTGCTTAGCGTGGATGGCGGGCTGGGAAGGGGCACCGTGTACTCACCCCTCTGCCGTGGCACTGCCTCGCACACTCGTGCACACCAAACACGCTGATGTTTTGGCACCGACGATTGAGGCAAATCTGAGGAGGAAGCAGAGCAGGTGTCTCAGTCCTCCTGCCAGCACACGCTTCCTGTCTGTGGGTTTCAACTGGGAAGCAAGGGGACGTTTGGGGAAGACGGTCTCGCCGTGAATACGGGTGCGTGTTTCCTGTGACACAGACTCGGGTCCCGGTGCCGCCCCCCACGCTCAGCACAGGCCGGGACTCAGGCCCATGGGACACTGCTGCGTCCCTTCACACGCTGATGGCATTTTACGTGCTTTCGGTCAGTCCTGGAAGGACGCCGATTCCCTCGTGGTTTGTTTGGTGCTTGCCATCACACCTACGTATCGCGGCGCTTATTTCTTCTCCATGAAAAGACGCAAGAGAGGGAGAAACGGACGAGTTCCTGCCCCGGGGCCTGTGTAGACGCTGAGACAAGGATACAGGGTCCGGGATCTTTTAAGGGAGATAGCGAAATATGGGCGCTTTCCCAACGTACTGGCTGACAGCGCTATCGCCGACGACAGAAACCACGCCAGACATGCCCAGCGGGGGAGCCAGGCGGCCGGTCCCTCCTGCTTGCCGGGCCTCCGCAGGGCAGCCTCCGCTGAGTGACACGGGGCTGGTTCAAAGAGTTTCGAGTTTCGTTTCATTTCAAAGATGCAGAACATACTTCAGACTCAAGGGATCAGGAGGCCCCGAGCGCCCACAGGCTCCTACAATCTAGCGGAGTCAAAGGGAAGACAGTCTAACTCTTGGACCCCGGGCACTTTTTAACCACGTGGGACCTTCCTACGGGAAGCCCACCGTCCGATCCCAGCTGCTCGTAAGGCCTGATTCGCGCAGCTCCCAGGCTGGCGGTAACCTTGGCCCAGGGGCTGTCCCATTGCGGCTGATAAAGGAAACTGAGCTGCAACGAACACACCAGGCCCCCGGCAGAATCTCCACGCTGCTCTGCTCTCCTCCGAACCCACGGGCCAGGCTGCACAGGGCGGCGCCCGCGCTGGCAGAAATGAAGGCCACGGCCGTTTACCGTGGCGCGTGGAGGAAACGCGCATCGGTAAACCCAGTCCCCGCAGTCAGCGCTCAGGTGTCATCCTAGCGTCGCGGCCCGGGTGTGCGTGAGCTAACCGCGGTGAAGGGGACGTCGGTGTGTATGCCAGGGGTCCCGTGTCGCGCTGGCCCCGGGGGACGCTCTGGTTCAGGGGGCGGGAGGGAGGGGTGATGGGGGCAGTTTCTGCCCACGGAGTCCTGTCTGTTCCGTGACCTCCGTGGGAGTGGTTTCACAATCACTTTGAAAATGGGTCCTAAAAAAGCACGAGGGGTTGACTCATCTTCGTTCCTAGAACATTTCATTCACTTGCTCTCATTTATGTGAGAAGGTCTGTCTCAGGAGAAACATCAATGTGGCAGAAGGGGAATGTCCCAATTTCTTTCATTATTTTTTTAATTTAAATTTTGGACTTTATTTCTCAGTCCTGAAACATCTCGGTCTACCTTTCTCCCTGGTCTCCAAAGAACCCTCTTTCTGCCTCAATGTCTCCTAAATCCCCC